GAAAAAGGAAAAGACCATCCATACCTTCAAAGAAGCTCACCAAAGTGTAGCACAAAAAGGAAAGACAGAAAAAAGACAGATGCCAAGAATTCAGGAAAGTGTGTTTCTGCCCGTGGTGATTCCAAGGTAAATATTTAATTTGACCAGTACTTATTAAGCAATTTCTATTTTTCCAGGACTCTAAAGTACACTTGGCAAGATATGAAATGAAAATAAAATACATCTCTACTGTTCAGGAGACTGGAGATGGGAAGGCAGTAGTCAAAAAGGCACAAGTAATAGAACATGAGATGAAATAAGTTTTGCTTCATTTGACTATTTACATGTCAGCCCAGAGAGTGATGCAAACATGATAATTTGGGAAAACAAATAAGGAAAAAGGAATATGGAACAGAAGGAATGAGAAAGACGAGATAGGAACCTAGAAATATACCCTAAAGAGATGTTAGGGGTTAGTGGCCAGAGATGGCCACCATCTCTGGGCAAACAATTTGAATAAAAGACATACATTGCTGTCTGGAAAGGTCTATTTTGAGTGTTGGTAAGAATACATCAGGGCCAGACACTGTGGCTCACGCCTATAACCCCTGCACTTTGGGAGGCCAAGGTGAAAAGATTGCCTAAGCCCACAGGTTCGAGACCAGCTTGGGCAACTTGGCGAGATCTCATCTCTACAATAAATCAAAAAATTAGCTGAACGTGGTGGCACGTGCCCTTAGTTCCAGCTATTTGGAGGGCTGAGGTGGAAGAATGGCCTGAGCCCAGCATGTTGAGGCTGCGGTGGACGTGAGCATACCACTGCACTCCAGCCCGGGTGACAAAGTGAGACTCTGACTCAAAAAAAAAAAAAAAAGACTGCATCAGGGAAACCTGGAAGGCAAGGTTTAAAACATAGCTTGAGTCTGGCGTGGTGGTCCACATCTGTATCCTAGCACTTTGGGATGCTGAGGCAGATGGTTTGCTTGAGCTCAGGAGGTCGAGATCAGCCTAGAAAACATAGCGAAACCTCATCTCTACAAAAAAAAATTAAAAATTAGCCAGGCATGGTGGCACATACCTGTAGTCCCAGCTATTCAAGATGCTGAGGTAGAAGGTTCACCTGAGCGCAGGAGGTCCAATGTAGGTGACAGAGTGAGACACTGACTGAAAAACAAACAAATAAAATAATAGGTTGGGTTGTAAGTAAATGATCTTGAATGCCAGAGTGAGAGTTTTGTCCTTAATTCAATAGGAATTAGAGCATTCATGAAGGCCTTAGACTAAGACAATAATATGATTTTTTTTTAAACTATTAGAAATCTAATGTCATTTTGAAGCAGGGACTGACCGAGGGAGCTCTGCTAATAGGAAACTCAATAGGAAGGCTATTGTGATAGAACCTGCAAGAAATAATAAGCAGCTTATCTCTGGTGGAGTCGTAAAAATGGAAAGAAGGAAATGAAAGTCACGCAAGAGGTAGAACACACAGAGTTTGTCAACAGCTCAGAAAGTAAGGTCAAGGGTGGATTCGGAACCATGAGTAAAAGAATGGAGATGCTAGCGTCAAAATAGAAAAGTCAAAAAAAGGAGCCCTTTCAGAGTTGGGAAAGAAAATGATGCAGTTGTTTTGTGAGCATGAACACTGTTAAAATAGAGATGTCTAGGAGCAACTGCACACTGCTGTCTAAATTTCAGATTCAAGTGAAAGAAAGCAGAAAAATTTAACGGTAACCAGGGGAGAGAGTAAAGGCTAGAAGAAAAATAAAATGCTAAAGAAGAATTTTCTAAAAGGTCAGTTTTTTTTTCTTTCACGATTTTTTTTCTTAACAAGAAAGCAGTTACAACAAAAGAAAGAGATGGAAAACGAATGACTTAAAATGTAAAATGTGAGTAGTAGAAGTGCAGAGTATAAATTATCCTTTCAAAAAGTTTAATAGGACAACTTGAATATTCAACAACAAAATATCAGTTAAATCTGGAGGAGACAGTGAAGCCTAGATAATGAAAACACAGTGACAGAAGAGCATGGCAAAATATGTTGTTAAGCTTCCTAAAACCCATGGAACACAGAATATTTGCAGGCACCTAATATCAAGTTTCAACATATGTAAGGCAAAAAGTAAGAGAACTACTATCAGAAGTGAGCAAATTCATATAATGATTTATTTTTATTTTTTAATTGTGCATATGTTTGAGGTACATGTGATATTGTGATACATGTTTATAATGTGTAATGATCAAATCAGAGTAATTACGGTAATGATTTTTAAATATTTCTCAGTAGTTAAAAGAATAAGCACACCAAAAATCAGTATGAACTGACGAATACAACACTGGTGCCTATCCTCATCAATAACCAAAGAAGAGCCAGGCACAGTGGCTCACACCTGTAATCCCAGCACTTTGGGAGGCTGAGGCAGAATCTCTACAAAAAATCAAAACCAAAAATGAACCAGGCATGGTGGCATGCACCTGTAATCCCGTACCCCAGGTGCAAAAATAACAATAATAATCCAATAAATACAAATTAAAAACATGATCAGATATCCTTACATACCACTAGATTATCAAAATTTTTAAAGTCTGGCCATTCTAAGGTTGGTAAGGATCTCATATAATGCAGCTTATAGGTGCAGCCACTTTGTAAAACTCCTTGTCCTTGTCCATCAAAGTTGAAGACCCAGCAATTCCACTTCCAGTCAAAATATTTAACAACCAGTACAGGACACTCAATTTCTCACAAATGGCCATACAAACATGACTGCAGCAAGCGCTGGCCCATGGCACTGGTGGTCACAGTTCAGGAGCCTGAATGAGCAATAGGTGTTTGTCTGCTGGAGTTCCAAGGACTACTCTGTTTCGGGGCAACCAGAGACCCAGAACCATTGGGGACTGATTGATATACTCAAATGTCAGCAGTGACTAACAGGGCTCCCCAAGGCTGCAACAGAGTTGAAGGGGAACTTGGGTGTTAGGGTCAGTGACTTTCTACCAAGCTGAATAAAAGTATTTCAATTTTGATAGTTGGCATCACCTTAATAGTTTGTACTGGCTGAATATCATTTCTGATTTCTCCCTAAGGAAACTTAAGCACTTATGCAATCAGCTACATGAAAAGAATGTTTATATAATCACTGACTCATCATAAGAAAAAGAAAAAAAACAGCAGAAAGGAAAATGGATGAATAAACTGTGATCAATGCATGCAGTGAAATATTCTACAGTGATTAAAATAAACAGGCCACATACAGTGGCTCATGCCTGTAATTGCAGCAGCTTGGGAGGCCAAGGCAGAAGGATTGCTTGAGCCCAGGAGCTCAAACCAGCCTAAGCAACATAGTGAGACCTCATCTCTACAAAAAAATCAAAAATTAGCTGGGCATGGTGGCACACACCTGTAGTCTTAACTACTCAGGATGCTGAGGCAGAAGGATCACCTGAGCCTCGAAGCTGCGGTGAACCATGGTTATGCTATTGCACTCCGGACTGAGCAACAGAGACCCTCAATTCAGAAGGAAGGGAAGGGAAGGGAAGGGAAGGGAAGGGAAGGGAAGGGAAGGGAAGGGAAGGGAAGAGAAGAGAAGGGCCACAGCCAAAGGCAATGTGAATGAGTCTCACAAACATAGAGTGAAGGGGGGAAAAACATGAAAGGATACATATACTATGATTCCATTCATTCATACAAAACTTTTAATAGAAACTAAACTATTAGATAGAGAAGCATAAATAGGTAGCAAGCCAAAAAACACGCAAGGAGATGATTATCAGGGCCGTGAAGGTGAAGGATGGGTGCGGTAAATGGGGACTCTGGGGAGTGGACACACCTTTTACCTTATAATTATTTGTTAATTCATCCGTATATATTTAATGTACTTTTCTCTACTATTTTATATTTTGCAATAAAAAGAATTTTAAAAATCGCAACTGCAGTAGCAAGAACATGGAATCAACCATGCTGCCCATCAAAAGAGAACTGAATTTTTTAAATGTGGTACATATACACGATGGAATATTACGTATCTATAACGAACAAAATCATGAACTTCACAGCAACCTGGATGGACTTAGAGTCTATAATACTGAGTGATCTTTCGCAGAAAACAAAGAACTGAGTATCACATGTTCTCACTCATAAGCGAACCTTGAACAACTCTCATAATACTATAGGAAAAGGATTGGCAGTAGCAGGAAACTGCCAGGAAGGGAGCGGGCAAGCGGGATTGGCAGTAGTGGGAATCTACCTGGGGAAGGAAAGGGGTACACCTCATCAACAAGGGTACCTGCATAATGAACACTTGTATACCTAACCCTGAATTGTACCCCACATCTTTAAAATAAAATAAAATAATTAAAAGAGAAAAAAAAATCGTGACTGGGCATGGTGGCTCATACCTGTAATCCCAGCACTCTGGAAAGCGAGGTGAGAGAATAGTTTAAACCCAGGAGTTTGAGACCAGCCTGGGCAACACAGCGAAACCTTGTCTCCATCAAAAAAATTTAAAAACCAAGGCCTGGCTCCATGGCTCAGCCTGTAATCGCAGCACTTTGAGAGGCTGAGGTGAGTGGATTGCCTGAGCCTGTGGGTTCAAGACCCGCCTGGGCAACTCGGTGAGACCTCATACCTACAATAAATCAAAAAATTAACCGGGCGTGGTAGCGCGTGCCTGTAGTTCCAGCTACTTGGAAGGCTGAGGTGGAAGGATAGCCACAACCCAGCAGGTCAAGGCTGCGGTGGCCGGGAGCGGCCACTGCACTCCAGTCTGGGCGACAGAGTGAGACTCCAACTCAAAAAAAAAAAATCTTGCAGCTGGCTGGGAGCAATGAACTTTGCAGCTGAAAATCTGATAACACAAATGATGTGGTAAGAGATAGGCAGAGCTGTGGAGTATGGCAACAAAAAAGGAAAAGAAATGATTGGAGAATAAAACAGCAGGAATGGTATTTATTCAAAGACAGTACATAGGACATTACAGGACACAGAGCACCCTGGGTGGAAGTGGAAGCCTTTTTAAACCAGAAACTTTCAACGCAAGTTTCCCAAAGAAAAATGAGCACCAAGGGCAAAGTAAGCAAATAAGCTGTATCTTTGTTCAGTTCATTCTCTTTTGTGTCTTTGTGTGTTTCCGGGTTTACTCTCAGAAAGTGGTGACTTAAAATTGATGAAAAGGTTATGAGTGACTCCTATGCTAGGAATTTATTCCAAGGAAATTAACTGTGGATTTGCCAAAATGTTTGCCACAAAGGTGTTCGATTAAGTATTATTTTAAATGACTAAAAGAAGAGAGGTTTAAGTAACTGTGCTATAGCCATAAAATAGAATATCTGTTACAAATAATGTTGCAGAAGAATATGAGAAAATATTCACAATATATTAATATTAACATTAATATTAATTAACACAAAATATATTAATAGATTAAAAAGTAGATTACAATATACTACATGCAATATGATCTCATTGGGGGGGATCAAAGAATTTACCTCAAAAGCATAAAGTGAATGATAACATTACCGATGAATTCTATTGTTTGTTTGTTTTTTAAACTTGAGAGGCAGCCAGGCTCGGTGGCTCAGCCTGTAATCCCGCGCCTTTGGGAGGCTGAGGT